ATCGGTTGAGCACAGCTATTCTTCCAGTCAAGCAGTGTATTTCACGGGTGTTGGTGGGGGGTTTCATTTCGATGATAGCCTTCACTTTGTCTGGTTTCGCCTCGATTCCCCGACTGTTGACTATGAACCCTAGGAATTTCCCAACCGACACTCCGAAGGCGCATTTCGTCGGGTTCAACTTCATTCTGTATTGTTGCATTATATCAAATACTTCTCTGAGGTGTTGGACGTGCAACTCGACTCGAATTGATTTCACCAGCATGTCGTCTATATACACCTCCATGGTCGAACCGAGCTTTTCTTTGAATATTCTGTTGACCAACCTTTGGTAGGTGGCCCCGGTGTTTTTCAATTCAAAAGGCATTACTTGATAGCAAAAGGTCCCTTGTTCCGTAATGAACGAGGTTTTCTCTTGGTCGCTCAAGTCCATCATAATTTGATTATATCCCGAGAAGGCGTCCATGAAGCTGAGGAGCTCATGATCGGCTGTAGCGTTGACTATTAAATCGATCCATGATAAAGGAAAGTTGTCCTTAGGGTATGCTCAGTTCAGGTAGGTGAAGTCGATGCAGAGTCGTCACTTGTCATTGACCTTTTTTACGAGGACAATGTTGGCTAACTAGGTCGGGTAATCGACTTCCCTGACAGCCTTGGCTCACAACAGCTTTGCCACTTCTTCATTGACCACCTTCTGCCTGTCCGGTGTGAAACTCCTCCTTTTCTGTCACACCGACTTGCAACCCGGATCAACGCTAAGGCGGTGCACAATCACCGCGGGATCTATCCCTTCCATATCTTCTTGTCTCCATGCGAAAGTGTTGACGTTTTCTTTCAAAAAGGCGATGAGCTTCTCCTTAAGCGATGGGAGCAGCATGAAACCCACGAAGACTACGTGCTATGGGTTCTCGTCCATCTGTACTGGTCCCAACTGTTCTGTGGGGGTTGGTCAACTCTCTAGCTCGTCCCTCATATCTAAGTCTTCTAGTTGTACCGATTCCACATCCTTTTGTCCCATGGATGCCACAAAACATTCCCTAGCTAGACTCTGGTCTCCCCTAACCACTCCGATCCCATTCTTGGTGGAAAACTTCATTACCAAATGATAAGCCGAGGGAATTGCCTTGATGGTGTTGAGGGAAGGTCTCCCCAACTGGAAGTTGTAGGTAGAGGGCGTGTCCACTACCAGGAAACGGACGGTGGTTGTAGCTTGGCTGGGCTGGTCTCCTATGGTGAGCACGAGTTGGATAGATCCGACTGGCAGGACTCTTTCGCTTGAGAAACCTAGGAGATGGATTTTCACGGATTCGAGCTTCGACCTCCCTATGCCGAGTTGATCAAAGGCAGATAAGAAAATGATGTTCGTCGAGCTCCCATTATCGATGAGCACGCGATGTACTACTTTGTTTGCGATGATTGCCTTAATGACCAGGGGGTCGTCATGCGGGTGTTGGCATTCCTTGAGGTCTGCGTCGAAAAGGCAGATCTCTTCATTCTGGCGGGGTGCCTTACTGACAGCTTGGACTTTGGTGAAGTCGTCTGATCAGGCTCTCCTGGCATGTGCCTTTCTCGCCGAGTTGGACTCGCTGCCTCCTGCGAATCCCCCGAGATGATCCGAATTTCACTGAGAGCTTCTTGGTGCTGTTGAGGGGGCACCACAATAGCTCGGGCTTCCTACCCTTGATTGTTCAGTGCTCTTCCTTCCCCCACCAAGTAGTGGCGTAGGTGTCCCTTTTGGATTAAGTATTCCATTTCCTTCTTAAGTTGGATGCAGTTGTTTGTCTCGTGCCCCGTGTCTTTATAGTACTCACAGTATTTAGTGACGTCCTGCCTGCTAAGGTCAGACTTCATCCGTGGCGGCCATCAGATGAACCTTTCGTTCTGGACCTCGTGGAGGACCTAAGCGATCAAGGTGATGAGGGGTGGAAGCTGTGCTAGGGCGAACCGTGGCTGTAACTCCTACGAAGGGGGTCTTAGGCGATCTCGGACGTTGCCCTCCTTTTAGGATAAGGCTTCCTTCTTCTTCTCGGGGATCGGTCTCTTTCCGGGAATCGGTTGCGCCTTTTTTATTTCCTGGGACTACAGTCCCTTCTCTCCTTGTCTTCTTCTATCGTTGTCGAGCTTCACTTCAAGCGGAGGGCGTCTTCGCCATTAATGTACTTCTCAGCTTTTGCCAATACCTCGGTCATAGTGGTCTGTGGGTTCTTCGCGATTGAGAAGAGTAGGTCCTTGGATTGTACTCCGAGTCCCAACATAAAGGTGGTCAGTGCGAACTTGTCATCCACACTTTCCACCTTCAGAGATTCCTGGTTAAATCCTGAGGGACTCGCTAGGTCCCTATTTGACGCTTAGTAGGTGGTAGGACAGTTTCTTGTATGTCCTTGCTCCGATGAAGTGTGACACGAGTTGTATTGATAGTTCCCTAAAGGAGGAGATCGATGCCAGCTGTAGCTGGTTGAACCAGGCTATTGTCGACCCCTTCAGAGTGATGGCGAAAATTTGGCAGCGAATCAGGTTTGGATACCCTTGGAGTTCCATCTGATTCTTATAAGAATTTAGATGGTCAACTGGATCTTTGGTCCTGTCGAACGCCTCTATTGACGACATCTGAAACTTCTGAGGAAGAGAAAAAAGAAGGACCTCGGGAGGGAATGGCGACTCGGTTTGCTAGACCAAAGCGTCTATGGTATCCGAGGCCTTTCCCTTAACCACCTCTTTCACGTCACCCAGCTTTCGTTGGAGCTCGCGAATTTTTTGCTCTTACCCGTGGTTGTGTGCCTCCAGCGGGGGATGAGGTCTATCTTGCCGGAAGGCTACTAGCCCAGTTGTGGGCTTCATCTTCATCTCGCTCTTCGGGCTGTGCTCATGGAGCTTAGTGACTCCGTTTGGTGGGGCTTGGCGCTCCTGATAAGGGGCGTCGTGCTCTGCTAAAATTGGAGGGGGCTCTTGTCGAGCTGGTGGAAAACGGGGGAGCTGATGTGTTTATATCCACTCCATCAGCTCCTGATTCTGCTTTATCAGTTGCATCATAGTTTGGTGATAGGTGTCCAGTTCACCAAGTGGAGAGAGGTTCGCTGCTAGGGGATGGTCTTCGGCGTCCACCTCAGGGACCGGAAAATTCTCTGGTAAGTTTTGGTTGGCTTGAGGGTTGGCGGGAGCTTTACTCATGTTCTGAGTTGAAACCATCAAGTAAATAAAAATTCGAGTAGGAAAACGATGATAACGCTTCCCACAGACGACGCCAACTGATGGGGTCTCGAAAATCAAAGCCCAAGCCCAACATATGCGAGGTTATTGGGTTTGATGTTAAAGCGGGTTTGATAGATTGGACTGTCTAATCAAAGAGGAAAAGAAGAAGATAAGTGATTCGCCTCAGATGATAGACCGATGGTACATCCAATATAATGGAGTCTCTTGCTCCTTAATGCTGTATATTAAAGCTCCGATGTATACAGGTGGGATTTAGGCGCTGGGCCTTTACAGGTGTTGGTGTTTAGCTTATAGAATGGACTCGGTTCACAAATGCCCTCCTAGGGATGCCCTTTTTGTAGGGCACTGTTCTATTTATATATGGGTCGTCTCTCTTTGTGATTTCTGGCAGAGTCTTCTACCTTTTATCGATCCTGTGGGGACCTCCTGTCATTGGCCTGCAAAAGCCTTTTTCAGCCAGCGCCACTGCGCCCAAGATCTCTAGGCCGTTATGCTCCACCGTTTTCTGTGTGCTGGAAGATGTAGCTATCGCAGGTTCAGAGATGGCCCCCCTATCCTCTGGACACGTGGCACGACGGGATGACTCCAAGGCAAAGATCCAATTCCTTCTCTTTGAACTATCCTTTAGCTGACACCTGATTGGGCTGGGACTGGGCCACTGCACCTCGGGTGCCCATTGGGCCTCTCCCTTTCAGCCCTTTGTCATGGGTTAATCAGAGGCGTTTCATGTTGGGCCACCGAACTTTCCTCCAGCTCCTCTTGGCTCTTTGGGCTTCGGGCTCGTTGGTGGCCCATGCCCAGAATTTTACCCTTATCATATATAGTAACATGTATATTTGCTCACTTAAAGAATTGTACCTAAAGAAAGACTCAAAAAATTGTTATGCAAATAGTGACACCAAAGAAAGACACGAGATAATGACAATAGGGGTTCAATCAATGACATCATGTAATGCCCCCTAGATAATGCCTAAGTGTCAGTAAAGAGTGACAATAATAGATTGATCATAAATAATGACAATATATATTTGCCCACTCAAAGAGTTACACCTAAAGAGGGACTTAAAAAATTATCATACAAACAATGTCACCAAAGCGAGACACGAGATAATGACAATGAAGATTCAATCAATGACATCATGTAATGCCTTCTTAATAGTGCCCAAATAGTATCAGTAAAAAGTGACAACAATAGATTGATCCTAAATGATGACAATATATCAAAAGAAATTTTAAAAGTATCACATTCTAATATTTAAATATTGAAAATATAAAAATTATCAATTAAGTATACACTATTTATGGTAATAATAATTATGGAATGTATTTTAAAAAGAATTTAAAAATATTTTAAAATGTATATTTATTGACAATTATTTGATAAAAAAAAAGACTTAAAGGAAGATAATTTTGAAAGTAATATTTAAGAACAAATAAATTTTAAAGAAGGTATCATTATCTCAAAATATTTCTCTACAAGATTATGAATCCAGACCCACGACCATCTTTGAAAAAAAAAAACGCATGTAAATGGCGTTATTGAAACCCACCCAAGTGGTGGCATTCCAATAGGTGGGTGGATTAGAATTAGAATCGAAATGACTAATGCTTCCTTACATCAAATCAAAACTTCAATGGACGAAAAGCAATACTGTCACAACATGGGATTTGATGTCACATTGCAGGGCCCACGTGTTTATTTTATTCCTGTCCAACCATTCCCAAACATGGGATAACATGGAGATATATCATACTCCCGTTCAAACCTATCCCCAAAACCCAATTCTAATTACCAAACATCCTCTTAGTCTTTAATAATGTAATCCCAAACATGGAACTCCAATTGTACAGATCACGCAACTCCTGTAACAAGTAACAGAAGGCATAAATAATTCACACGTCAAGTAGGCCATAGAACTCATTTTGGTGAACCACTTTAGTCATTCCAACTTTAACATGTTCCAAAAAGCAAGGTGCGTAATATCTTCACCATTCAAATAAACGGAGTCACTAAATCCAGTGGATGCAAAGGACAGTAAGAGCAAGTGTGTGACCAAAATCTAGCTCATTCTATTCTCATTTCTCACGAGTTATAGTGAAGATAATGAATTTGTAGCATTTATTGATTGAATCGTAAAATTGGCTAAAAAGATGAGAAATATTAAAGCAGAAGACAAAATTAAGGAGAAATTACACTTTGATTCCTTCAACTATGACCCTTTTTCACATTGCCCCATCAACTATCATTTTTTACATTGTGCATTCAACTATGATTTTAGTTTCACATTGCCCCCAATTATTAGCGTCCCTTAGAGAATTGTCAGAGTTGTTTCACTCCCCCTCATTTTTCCCCACGCATCCAGTCTAAAAGATAAAAGAATATTTCAAGTTGAGACAATGTGAAATCATTCAAATAGTTGAGGGGGTAATGTAAAAAATTCAAATTCAATAATTCAAGAGACAAAATAAAATATAGGTCCACATAGTTAAGGGGTCAAGGTGTAATTTTCCCTGAAATTAATAGCATTACCAATTCTTGCCGTAAAATTTCTCCCTCTTGAGCAATCAATCTCCTCTCTTCTATTAGCTTCAAAATGGTTGCTTCAGCCTGGGAGGAAGTCCAGAAGAATAGATTATAATAGTAAAGGAAATACATCCACAAACCCTTTTTCAAATATGTCTCATCGAGATTAAACTTTTTCGGTATGCTCCACAACACATTAGGCAAAATTTCAAGGATCAAAATTTTGTTTTGGTGCATGATTTCAGTTACTTAGACGATAAAAACGTTTCAAAAATGTTTTGGAAACAAAATGCAAATAAATAAAAAAAAATTAGGAATTTATTTCTAAGATATTCGAAAATATTTGTGGAAACAATCTGACACATTGGTTTCAATCACTTGATTTGTTTATGTCTCGTTAGAAACAGAACCGTTTTAAAATGAAATTTTAATGCTTGCAACATCCATCCCACATAAAGGAAAAATAGTAGGATGAGAAGCAATTTCCATGATAATGCTGGAGACAAAAGATGACTAATTCACAAAGAACCAAAATTAGCTATTAGAATCTAGTAGTAGAAAAATTGTGGTAGATCTAGTGATGAAAATAATTGAAGCATGATGCAAGACCCAAATTAGCATTGAAACACTAGGTGAGCAATACAACCATTATGATTATCAGAGAACTCGCTAAATACATTAATCGAATTATGGTCAATATTTTTATTAATATATTAATTTATTGTTTAAAAACACCCATTGTTTCTTAAATTTTGTTTCTTTTCCATTTTTTTCCGGTATCTATCCATAATAATGACTACACTTGGGGGGGAAACGGTAAGTGGCTATTAAGATTTCAAAGCTTATATTAATTTCCTATCCATGTGTACAATTTGTGCCCCTTGCCCAGAAAGAGAGCATCAGAATTGTGATACATTAACCATCTATTCCATTCCAAAAGCTCATATTTTCAATTTTGACCATGTTGTCATATATATTAGATGTGAATTTCGTAATTCTATTGAATACTATACAAAATATATTACAAAGGCTTAATTTCCATGTAACATATAAAAAAATATGCCTACATCTGTCAACTCTCTTGATATGGGTCTTTAGCCTGTAGGGTTTTGACCAGTTGTCACTGAAAAGTGGGCTCGTTAGTTCCGGAAGACCCCTACTAGTAAAGGATAAGTCGACATCTTGTCCGAACTGTACTGTTATTAAAATCGGACTTGCCCAACCGCTCGAACCATAAACTCAGTGAATCGGTGCCTAAGTTGGGCTGATTCACAAGTTAGATCGTCCATTCAATCTAACTGTCGAACACCAGTTTAAACCAGATAAATTTTATAAAATTCAGACCGGTTTAGTCATGTGAATCTAGTTCACCTTAAAATTAAATATTTCCACTCAGCCTTCACAAATAGTTAATGCAGCTCAGGTTTTCAATTTCCTAGGCCTCCACGATGGTCGTTTCCTGCTCAGGCTTCCACAGTTTTATAGGCTATATCTTACTTGTACTTTCTCATGAGATTTCTATGTGGAATTAGAATGATGTGTTTTTATATCTTATGGCTTTTTCTTCCAATCGTTTTATATTATGAAGCATACTCCTTTGGGTCTGCTATTCTATACTCGTTTATGAATTTTTTGATGCTCTAGTAGATTTATTAATTGTCTAAATAATTATAATCTTTTAGCATATTTATTATTAATAATAATTATTTTCTATTTTTAATTATATAACCGCTCCAACTAATTGACCCAACAATTGAACTAGTGAGCTATTGACTCGGTTCAATTGCCAGATTAATGCTAAAGAGCCGGGTTTAATAACAATGCAGGATGGGGAAAGAGAGGTGGGGAGTAAGCAAGAGATTTGGCATCCTATTGTCAAACCCTTGACAAAGTTGCAAGAGACATCTAACATACCCAGTGTTCCCCTTTATAACAAACCTGACGGACCAACAAATAAGAGAAGCTGTACTACGATATCATTGAATTGGAATCCAGACACCATAGAGAAAAACTGACCTTGGTTAGCTTTATCTCGAGTGTATTTAGTTTTGACTTAATCTCCTCAACATCTTTAACCAACTTCAGCTCCTCCACATCCTTCATTGCTTTGAATTCCACTTTGGACTCCTCCGCATCCTTAGATGGCCAACACAAATAGAGAAAACATACTATCAGAATAAGTCTAAATGTGCATCTAGCATATTTAACACAAATTGAAGGATTCCAAAAATAACAAAATGACGTGGCCAGAGCCTAACTGAACTCCAAAATCACTATTTACATAGCCAAGAAAGAAAAAGATTATCAGTGACACTCCAATGTACCATTGAATTCTATATACACTTCCCAATGTGTCCTATGAGTTTTGAGAAGAGTGTCCTAACAAATAATTAATCCATGTATGTTAAAGGATAAGACATATTCAAACATGGAAGAGCCAGGGGGGACACAAAATCCCACATTGTCAATACATCCTATTAAGATGGAGTCTAGCCATGTTACGTGGCCTGAGGTTTTCTTCTCAACTACAAACTTGATCTTTCAGTAATGCAGCTTCATAAACTGGCACCTGCTTCAATGTTCCATTTATTGGTGATAGTACCAACGAATGAGGAGGGCTGCCAAGGATCACTTTGAGCTTGTTCTCTTGAACATATTTGCCATTATCTTTATCAAACTGCCAAGCAAAACTATGTGAAACCAGAATAAAAAAATCAAAACCACCTTTTTTTTTTTCTCTACAACTTCAGAACACTTACCATGCTTGACGTAATATCCTCACCAGTGGTCCCAACAGGGACAACTGTGCTCTGAATCAAGAACTTGTCCATGCATAACCCATCAGGCGGAACTGACCTTAGTGCCTGCTTTGTAACTATATAAACACCAAATGAGAAAGAAATGAAAAACATCGCCAAAATCGGTAAGAGCAATCAGTAAAACAAAGAAACAACATGCAGTCGTAACTATGATGCAGCACCAAAGAGAAGGTAGAACTTCAAAGTTCAAACAATATTTGGGTGTGCCAGAAATAGCGTGCTACTATTTCTTCATTTAGGTATCTAGCTAACTGCAGATGCCAATCCGAAAGTTTTAATATCAAGAATTAGGAATAATTAAAGTGAATATCTCATTTCTCCTTCCTATACTTTTCACCTTGTTATAAACAAAAGCATCATGTCTTAAAGTCCTTTTTCAATTTACACCCATCCAAGAGGCACTCTTGAGTAATGGATGCCACACCTTTCTGAGTCCTTGCTCAATAACGACTCATTTTTTTCTTCTTATGTAAAACAATACGCATGAAAAATCATGCATAACTATAATATTTAGTAGGCCAGTCCAACCAAAATAAATGCAAATTATCCACTCAGCATCTCATCTTCATTAGTTATCGTCAACCATCAAAATATCGTCCAAAACGTTTCCGTTTTCAAGGGGATCGAAACGAATCAATATTGGAATCGAAATTATAATATTTCGAGGTATTCTAGAATGTTTCAAAATGTTTTATAATATTTTAATACATTTTCACAATTGTTTCAGAATGTCTTAAACTATTTTAAGATACTTTGATATATTTTTTTCATTATGTTTCTAAAACGGGTCAAAATATTTCCAAAATACGTCAAAATATTTCTGTTTCTTAGATGACCAAAGCAATATACCAAAACGAAATTTTGATCTTTGGTTATCGTGACAAACTTCTTTGTTGATAATCTAGACCAACTTTACAAAACCAACAAATTCCCGTCGATATTTTTCCACCAATTGTCACTTGTCAAAATGCCAACAGAAAGGTCAAACTATGTTTCCACTTTGCGTCTCACATATTATTGCCGTCTTTGTGACAAGATTAAATCTCTTAGAGGAAATTGATATCTAAGTGTTGAATGGAATGGCCCACACACAGTTCTATTATCAAGATATCAGATTTGCACACACACAGTTCTATTATCAAGATATCAGATTTGCTTAAAGACCAGTTAAAATGGTGATGAACATTTACTGAAACTAATGGAAACCCTAAGCAAATTCCATAGTTCCCTTCTTTAACAATTTTTCAGCTTGCGAATATTGAACCCTTGCACATGAGTTCTGTCACAAGCTAATTTCAGTAGAAAGATGATGGCCAAGGGCTTCAATTGTGGCAAGTGTTCATCCGTCTGCCAATTAATATATGATGGGTTCGAGTCTGAGAACCATCTAAAAAATGAGGACAATATTGTCTAAAGTTTATTATTCACATATCCTGCTATAGGAAGGAGCTCGTACACCAAATACCAATGTTATCATAACCGGACCGGACTTCAAACCGGCAAAGGGATCGGGCCAATGATTCACTGGTTCAACCATTAGGTCAACTGATCGAACCGGTCTTATAAAAAAATATAATATAATAATTTTACTAAAAAGTTATTAATCACAATAAAAAAATAAATAGTATAATCTATGTATGGTGTGTGTTTTGATTGTTGAGGGTTTTATTTAAACTACTGTCCATAATTTTGTGTGTGCGTGTAGATAGAGAGAGAAAAAGACAATACCCAGCCCAGCATCTCTTTCTCCATTACTGTGAGTGTGTGTCTGTGTGTAGAGAAAGAGAGGGAGAGGAGAAGAAAAAGTCTGATGTTCGATCTGGAGCACACGCTATTTGAAAGCTCGATCTGGAGAAGACAAAGAAGAAAAAGCGGAGGAAGTTTGGTGTTCAAGATTTAGTGTTCGAGATCTAGATTTGTGGTGTCATGTGGTGTCGTGTGTCGCTGTTCGGGTGCTTGATTTGGAGAAAACGAAGGCTGATTTAGAGAAGACGAAGGCACACCAAATCTTGGAGAAGACGAACGCACACCAGATCTTGGAGAAGACGAAGACTGGTTTTGAACCACCGGTTTTTTGCCTAAACCAGCCAATTTTTCGGTTCTCCAACAGTTCAATTATTCAAACGGTCTTTTTAATAAATCAGACCGTTGAAGGTTCTGGTTCATCAGTCCGACTGGCCGATCTAATTCGGTTCTGATAACACTGTCAAATATAATTTTTTTTCACACTCATTAAATATAAGAATCTTAACAGTTACAATTTACGTACCAAATGTTGTGAGTTAATATTATGAATTATTTTTATTGATATATCATGATTTTTTATTAGATAAATGCATATTTTATAAATAATTTTAAAGGAAAAAAGTGAAATGGTAAAACTGAAAAATAATTTATTTTCAGTCGTCAGCTGTATGTCATTATCAAACAGTTTAGTTTAATTCAGTATTCAAATTTTAGTAAATATCAAACCATTCACGAATTTAGAATTCATCATTCAGTTTTAAATATTTAGCTTTCAATTTTATCAAGCATCACCTAACACCTCCCCTCAAGTTGAAATATAAAAATAAAAAATGTCTAACTTGGAATAAAAGCTACTCAAGGTGTACTATGACAATTGTTTGGTAAAAAAATCACTATAAGTTGACAACAATATCTCCACATAGACATAAAGATGATAAAACCAAGTTTTGGGTGATTGTTTCAAACCATTGAAACAGTTCTTTAATAGACAAACACTACCACGAATCGTGCAAAGGACATAACCACTATATTACCTCTAAGAAACAAGTCCAGGTGGTTGCTCCATGTGAAGTCTAAAACATCCCTTTTGTTTTCTAGAGAAGCAATTAATGACCACACCAATCGTGCAAAGGACATAACCACTATATTCTCTCGGACTAAAAAATTCAGGTGGTTGCTCCATGTGAAGTCTGAAACATCCTTTTTTTTTTTGTAGAGAAATAATTAATGACCACACAAAAACAAACAATATCAAACGGCGATCACAACACTAAGTAAAAGAACACGATGAAAGCAAAGGACAAACACAACACCACCAAAAATTCGAGCATAAATAAACATAACCAATAAGACCACAATAAGTCATAAACAACAACAAATTAGACCAAAATCCATGCAAAATCAGAATTAAATCAGCCAAAAAAAGGGTTAAACTAGTGTTGAAAACCATAAAACCAATATTGAAGTGATGAAAATTCCAAAAATTGGCAATAAACTAGGATAAAGACACTAAGCCAAATCTAAACCGAGATGAAAACCACTAAACCAACACTAAACTACAATGAAAACCGCTAACCTGGCACTAAGCCAAGTAGAAAACACTGAGTCAAAATTGAACAGGGATGAAAACCACAAAATTAGCACCAAGTTATGTTGGAAATCACTAAACCAGTACAAAACCTGGCTAAATACACGAAACCTAAACTAAATCGAGATGAAACCATTAAACCAACATCAAACTAGGCCGAAAACCACTAAAATAACACCAAATTGAGTTGAAAATCATGGAACCGACAGTAAACCAGGCTGAAAGCAATGAACTGGAACTGATCCGAGCTAAAAACCACTAAACCAACACCAAATTGGTCCACAAATCAATAAACTAAACTTAGCACACTAAAATCCACACCGGTGATTAGACACCAGAGCCACGGACATGGATTTAGGCACCCCACGATAAATAATAATGGTCATTGCAGTCGATAAACAAATATAATTGACTACAACTTGATGTGTGCCAGGCCTGCCCAACTGCTAGGTAAGTGAGGCACTTGCCTATGTCTAGGACCCACTAACCCAAGTATCTTGCTTTGATATTAAGGTGAAACTTGAATAACTTTATGTTAGTATTAAGGAAAAGCAAGGAAGATAAAGAACAGTGTTTTGAAAAGCACGCCTAGGCGAGAAGCGAGGCGAAACGAAGAGATCTCGCCTTAAAGACCCCAGGCGAAGTGAATATGAGTGAAACAAGAAAAAAGCGAGCGTCTTTCGCTTAAGCGAGAACGCCTGAGGTATTAGAGGCGAAATTGTTTTATTTTTATTATAGACCGTTAGAGCAATTAGAAAAAAAATTATAAGATGTTGATACACCGAATTATCCCTTATCCCATAAATACAATCCCAAACCCATATTTTACTCATATTACTTCGCTACTCCTACTCCACAAGCTTGATCGCTGGACACAAACACACAAAACCACTTTAACCACAGACTCGATCGCTGGAGCTAGACACAAAACACCCACAGTCAATCACTGGAGCTGGACACAGAACACCCACAGTCGATTGCTGGACACAAAACACAAAGTCGATCGCTGCTCCTACACGATCGACAGAGTCGCTACCCCTACATGATCTATAGAGACGCTAATCATTGTTGATCGATAGAGTAGCTGATCGTTGCTCCTTCTAGACAGAGACTCGATCGCTGGAGGTTAGTCTCCTCTTTTTCTTCTCTCTTCTGCTTCTGTTTTTTTTTTTTTTGCTTCTGTTATTTTTCTTGATTCTGCTCCTTTTTTTTGTCCTAATTCTGATTCTACTCATGCCTTTTTTTTTATTGTGCTCTTGATTCTGCTCCTTTTTTTCCCTGATTGTGCTGTTGTTTTGCTGCCCTACTATTTTCTAATTGTGTTATTGTGTTGTTCTGTTTTGCTGTTGTGATGCTGTTTTGTTATTTTGTTGTGTTGTCCTGAAATGTGATTCAATACATGTGTATATAAGCCTACGAATGTACATAAAAATAGATTTACAAAAACAACTATGGTTGATTGATATACTTATATTTTTAAATATTAGGATTTGAGATATTATTAGTGTTTGTTTGAATTTAAATATTTAAGCTATGACTGTTATTAAGATTTGAGATATTATTAGTGTTTGTATTAATTTAAATGTTTTATGGTTTTATTTGTATTTAAATATTTAGTATATATAAAATTAGAACTTAGATGTTTAGAAGTAATTAAACTAATATATATATATATTTTTTAACTGGTCGCTTCGCTTCTCAGTTCTCGCCTAGGAGTTCGGAGCCTTGATCGCTTCGGTTCGTTTTACGCCTTAAATAA